ACGTCCGTTTGAAAGATATATCCGTGACCTACAGCCCAGATTACCGTAATGTCGATTACGTGTGTGTGTGTGTGTACACATAAAAAAACCTACAAACAAACGATCTCAATCTTTCCTATCCCAAAATAGTGTTTGACTCAGTTAACCGTAAGACCATTTTTGTGGTTTGTATCTCCATAACCGTAAATGTCAGATGTATGTCATGTCTTCTCGAGCAGCAAACAGTTTACACTGAACCTTTTATCCGGCGTTTCTCACAACCCCGTTTTCGCCTTTGTTTTCCAAGCAACACTATCTCAGTCCGTTTGTTTTGCGCAAAGCGTTGGAAACTGTCATCTTGCACGAAGGAGACGAGAGCTTACGGATACAAACCCCCGGTCAATGTTTCCTATATAAACACGATGAGCTGACCTGGAGCCTGGTCTGGTATATCCATCGAATCGGACTATTGAGTCACCTGCTCGATTCTCTTCCTACCTGGCTGATAGATCAGCAGATCAAAGCGCAGAAACGTGTGGCCAGTATGGGTGGTGCTGGATGCGGCACGAGACGAACAGAGAGTGGCAGTGTTATCCCGGACGCCTTGTTGGTAAGCCAGACAAATTGGATCCTATTGATATTGTGTAACTGTGTCACTACCAGTCAAGGTGGTCAAATGATTAACTTGAAATTTGGAACGGAAAGTATCGTGAGATAGATTCGAATAAGGCATTGTTTCTTTGATTTGCTATAAGTGGTTGCGGGTCATAATGTTCTGTGCGTAAATCAAGCGCCTGACATCCGAACAACATTTCTACCATATTTTCTTCCAAAGTAGTCGGTTTAAATCGAACAGAAAAGTAAACCAACATATGTATTCAACGTAATACTGGTATTCAAATTGAGGTGTCATAAATTGCTAGTTTAAGAGTGACAGACAGACTCTTCAAGTACGAGATGCAGAAAAAATGTGGGTCAGTGATCAGAAGACCACCGTTTTTATTGTCACCGGTTTATGTTGTTACTAAGTCGCCCGTGTCATTCTTGTTACTTTGACCCAAGAGGTCGTTCCCATGTATCCCATAAATAACATTCACTTATCCACACATAACTTCCCTAGTGATCGCCACAGCCACCATACGTAACTTCGCAGTTTGGAACAAATACAAATTTAATCGATCGTTGAACCCCTTGAATTTTGGAGAATATGGTAATTTTAGCTCAAATTCATTAAACCGTTTGTCTCGTGCGGGTGCTCCACTTTGTGTGCTTCAATTCCTACTGTTTTACTGGTACGAAAGTTTGATGCTGGAGGTTTGAGCAAAAGGATTCGTCAGTTATCCCCATTGATTTCTGATTAGCATCGATTGAATATTGATCATAGTATGTCCCACTCGGTCGGATAATTTTGATTTATTTGCTGTTTGCAGTATTTTCTGATGTTAACTCTTTTCACCCTAAACCTTGGAGTTGAGATACTCTAGATTTTTTTAACTATAGACAGATAAAATATCACAGTGAGTCTATTCGATGTGTCTCTAACGCAGTTTCACTGGAGGATGCACTGTTTTCTCTGCATTCTTTTGCGATGCGCTTGTATAAGTTGATTTAAATTCGCCCGAAATCTGCTTCGCTTCTTGAGCACGCCAAACTGCATCGTTGTTCATGACCGTAACACACTGATTAGTAAAGATGTTAGGCAACATGCACTTTTTTAACTTGGATTCCTGGGGGTCAACAGGTTCCAATTCAATTCGACCACCCGCTGAGATCTGCATAGCGTTTGCCGTCAGTAATGTTTCCTTGATCTCAGCACAATGATCTAATGACCAGTCCTGCGTGAGGTGACGCGAGAGGTTCTAACCGAAGCCCTGCATGCATTAGTGTCCCGGACACAGGTTATGTCGGTCAAACCAAGGCCTTATGGGCACCACCCCACGCTCAGATCCATGAGGAGGGGGGGGAGAAAACGTAAAGACGATAGCAACAACCACCAAACCTCCAGGACAACACTGCACACATCCGCATACAATTTCCACACGAGATCCATGTATGGAACGCCAGTTGTTTGATAATCATCTCAATGCTAACGTCATCTGACTTTGTCTATTGAGAATATCGCAAGTATAGGTACTGTTCTGTTGGGGACATATTTCTTCCACCGCATTATTGGAAACATGTTAACTGTCCTGAATTTAATTTTCACCATCTTCCGCAGCAAGTTAAACTCAGTCCGGATTTGCCCGTCATGATCTCTTTGCGTTGGAACTCTTATCAAATGG